TGCTTAACCTAAGCACATTTAAGCCATTTAAGCCACATCTACAGCACTTTTGTAGAGTTCTATAAGCTCCAATTTTGCACTCCTCTGCTTATAATACTTGCAGTAGCCTCCTTAACCAGGCTTCCTCCGCACTGCCATATCCTTAGCTATATCATCCTGGACTCAAGTCTCTGCACCTCCTACGTTCCAAACGGTGATCCCTTTTCTAATTGTAGACTTGCAGCATTCATTTTCTCAGATCTCCGATTGATTTCTCAGGTGTTCAGAATGATTTGATAACTATCTAGTTGTATTCAAGGGACAAGAAGCACTTAGTGTCCCTTTACACCGCCATCTTAAATCTTCCCCTTTGAATCACTATTTTTGTATGGATAAATACCTAGTAGTGCAATTGTTGGGTCACAGGATAGTTCTATTTTTAACTTTTTGAGGAAACAGTATGGAAACATACTGTTTTCCAGAGTGGCTGTACCAGTTTGCATTCTTACCAACAGTGTAAGAGGGTTCCCCTTTCTCTGCATCCTCACCAACATCTGTTGTTTCCTGAGTTGTTCATTTTAGCCACTCTGACTGGTGTGAGGTGGTATCTCATGTGTTTTTGATTTGTATTTCCCTGATGCTGAGTGATGTTGAACACTTTTTCATGTGTCTGTTAGCCATTTGTATGTCTTCTTTGGAGAAATGTCTATTATTGTCCTCTGCTCATTTCTTAACTGGATTTTTTATTTTTTGGGTGTTGAGTTTGGTAAGTTCTTTTTTATATTGTGATTTTATTTTCCAGTTGTTTCCACATTGGTCACCCAGAATCCAACATGGGGTAAAAGAATAAGCCTCATTCCAACCCTACCTAATTTCCAAAATATGAAGACACCATTTTTGGGGGTCCTCTTATCCTTAATGCCACTAATCTCTAATAATTTCACAATTTCTTTACTTATTATTTTTGACTTTGCCCCTTCACTATTCACCTCAACTATAATTCAGCCACACTTTTTTTTTTTAAGTATGGTTTCTAGAACTGAGCACAAAACTCTAAAATTGAGTTCCTTAGCACTGTGACAAGCATAATTTTTACTTCAATTAAACTAGTTCCTAAAATTCTATTAATACAGACTATGAATGCATTAGCCCTTGAGGGGCTTCATAAAAATAGTGAAACATTAAATATACAGATTAACACAAATTCCAAATTACCTTTGACATTTACTACAATTTGGTGTATTTCTCCCACTGTCTTCTTGAGTAGTTAGTTTTTGACAATTCTATCTGGAATCCCTGACAACTGAAAAGTCCTTCTTGGTGTTAATGACTTCATTTATTTATTTATTTTTTGTGGAGTAAACATGGGCATGCTCAGAGAAACTAGATTTATTTCATAACAGTATTAAGTGCAATAGATTGATTACACTCTGTATTAAGTGACCTCATGGTGTTTTAAAAAGTAAAATCATATTACATATATTTTCTATATCTTCAAGTGGAAATTCATGTAATATACTATAATATTTTAAATTAATTTTTAAAAGTATACTTTAAAGACTGAGCTGCTTTCTGAGATTTGCCTTTCCCTACCTAATGGCTTCCACCCTATTTTTGATTAAATAAATGCCAGAGTAAAACCAGATGAAATCAAAGCAAAGCAAACAACACAATGTAGCAGATCACCATGAATAAAAGCTTCATGAGGATTAACTGTTCCCTGTTATATTTTTTTATTGAAATGTTATTGAAATGTTATTATGAAACAGGACTGTACAAGAAGTAAAATGAAAAAAGTCAACAAATATTACTATTAAAATAACTCCATTTCTGGTTTTTGAAAACAAAGATACTTTATATAACTGACGAAGCTAAAACAATTCAGGAAAATATAATTTTGCAATTTAAAAGCCTTTCAATTAAATTGTGTTATAAATCTGTGAAATTTGAATAGAGGGTTTTTTTTATTCTAATGCGAATATCATTCTCCAGATTTTAAGACTTATAGCGGTCAGTTCATATTTTTATAATTAGTCTTTTCAAAACCAAAATAAAAATAAGGGCATTCTTTGTGATCTCTTTCGTGTACCAATAATTTATATCAAGTAGATTTATTTATAACTTTATAAGAATTTTAGATTGTTCTTGAAATAGTATATAGATAACACAAGATTATTCTATCTGAATATAGGAGATAGTACTTGTTGCAGCAACACTACTGGAACCGGTCCCTAAGGGCTCATATTGTATAACCACACCTCACCACACTGTTCTCCACATGGCAGTGGGGTTCCCCTAGTTCACGGATGTGTGGCCTACAATGTTTGAAAGATGGCTTGAATTCTGGGCTCTTGAAAATAGCAGAATGAACGAAAAAAGAATATTCAAGAACCATGAGTAAAATATACAAGTAAAATATACCTGAAACACACTTATATCACACATGCAGTACGACGAACGCTTTATCCCTGCTTTTTGCAGAATGGAGGCATGCGGTGAGGGTATCTCTCTTGCTGCAGCTGCTTTCTTTAGCTGGAGCCCCTCTACTTCCCCATTGCTCCCCTTCCTTTGTGACTCAGACTATGGAGTAGGAGATAGCTGGTTCAGGCTTGGCTCTGCTGCTCCTAGCTGTGTGTACATGGGCAAATCATGTAAATCCAATGACCATCTGTATTTTCCCCCAGAAAACAAATGTGCAGTCACATCTGTCTTAAAGTGTTTGTGACCATGTTCGTAAAATGCTTCCACTAGATGTGAGTTTTAGGAATCAAGGACTATGTTCTAATCAACATTTCATGCAGTAAAATGTCTGGCACATAGTAATACAGGATAAATGGTATTTTTACATGATGTTGCACAGGCATGCTGTGTTTTAGGAGGTTCAGATATGGCTTTTGATAGAAACAGTGGTTAGTCATTGCACTGGCAGATGTTTACAGGACTGATACATTAAAAATTTGGGGAGAGGGCACCTGGGTGGCTCAGTTGGTTAAGCGACTGCCTTCAGCTCAGGTCATGAGCCTGGAGTCCCAGGATCAAGTCCCGCATCAGGCTCCCTGATCAGCAGGGAGTCTGCTTCTCCCCCTGACCCTCCCCCCTCTCATGTGCTCTCTCTCTCTCATTCTCTCTCTCAACTAAATAAAATCTTTAAGGAAAAAATAAATAAACAAATAAAAATTTGGGGAGAAAGGCTATTCCTCAGAGAATTCAAAAAGTTTCAGAGGTGAATAGAGAATAATCCCTTCGAAGAGGAAAGTCAACACAATCATTTCATCCCAGGTAAGCTAGCTGGTAAGCATTAAGGAAGGCCATGCTGTTGTAGTTCTCCTATTGCCTAAACCTAGGACACAGATTCCAAGTTCCCGAAGAACAACCTCAATAAAATGGAAAGTGTAGAGGAAACAAAGAGCTCAGAAGTAAAAGACTGATACTAAGAGATCCCACAGATTAGCTCCCTCAACATCTGCACCTGCTGTCATCAGCACCTAGAAGTTGAATAAGGGAGATGGAGCCCTTGGCTTCAGGGTGGTTTCTCCCTCAGGGTGCTCCTTAGGATGATTTTCTGATTGGAAGCCTAGTGAGGGGTACAGCAGGGGACCCCCCCTGGAGAGCACTCATATGTGCTCCTTGCTGCAGGGAGACACAGAGGACTGGATAGAGCAAAAACAACTGAACAGGTTCTACCTCCAATAGGGGCAGACAGAGGGCCAGGGACCAGCTGAGTAACTCATAGGGGATGGAGCAGAGGAGTATTGAGATGGGATCGATTTACATGCTCTGTGAGCTTGCGTATTAGCCATGGAATGAATGTAGGCAGTGCAGGGAAGTCATGGAGCTAGTCCTCTTAGGTTGCCAGGAGGATGCAGGCCATTGAAGCTGAACAAAGCTAGAGATGGGCCACCAGATGTCCAGAGGCATAAAGTGGGTAACACAGGAACATAATGTATTGACTTGTTTCTAGCGATTGCTTAAAATAAACAAACAAGAAAAAATCCTACTTCATATTCTTGAAACAGTTATGCACATGGACTCATAATCCTTTTTCACCACGAGCAACAAAACTTGGGCTGAATATTGAGCAGGGAAGCCATTTAATTCTAATTCTAATCTTTTGGGAATTCAAAGAGAGCAAAATTCAATATAGAATTTAACAATTGTATGGCTATTTGAAGTTGAAACACACACAAATATAAAGAAATCTTTGGAAAGCAGACCTATTTTTGTCTGATCCTGAAGGTAGGTGACAGGAAAGTTTTTAAAATATTCTCATCAGTCTTGGGGCACCTGGGTGGCTCAGTCGTTAAGCGTCTGCCTTCGGCTCAGGTCATGATCCCAGGGTCCTGGGATCGAGCCCCGTGTTGGGCTCTCTGCTCACTGGGAAGCCTGCTTCTCCCCCTCCCACTCCTTCTGCTTGTGTTCCCTCTCTCACTCTCTCTCTCTGTCAAATAAATAAAATCTTTAAAAAAAAATTTAAAAAAATATTCTCATCAGTCTTGATTTGTCTCGTGCTGGGAACCTGGTATTTATTCTACATTTATGTAAATATTATTCTCTAATGCCCTGTCTGTATTTAAAGAAATACATAGAAGACAAACACATACTATCAAAATAGAAAGAAACATGTGAGATTAGACCTGTTTTCTTATGATGTGCATAACCAGTGTCGAATTCCTTACACAAAGCTTTCTGGTATTAATCAAGGACATTCATTATTTGTTACTCTGAGTCACATGGTTTACGTAAGACTGCTTTGTTACAGTCTTGTGTCTTTCAAGGGTATAAAAGTATCAAGTATCTCAAACGTCAAGAGTGACGTTGTGGTGGAAAAATGCATAGCTTTAGAAATTACACATTACACTACTGAATTCTGGTTATCTTACACAAAAGTGGCAGTATTTTCTTAAACAAGATTTGGGGAAGAGTGATAGGGCTACCACATTGTTCCTTCACTTCTTCAGGCATCCTTCAGTTTCCAAAGGCTCAGATTATGAACTGGAGATAACGTTTGCACGTTTGCTTACCACAGGTCTGTGGACGTCCCAGAATGCTCTCTCTTGGCTATCAAGGATCTTCCTTTCAATTTTGTCTCTCTTCTTGTCCACTCTGTCAACAGCGTAACAATGAATAATAAGTAATGTTAATTGTAGCACCTCTCTGGACAAAAGGCCACAACTTGAACAAATTTTCCAAAAGACTCACAAGGACTCACTTTGCTTGTGCTTCTGCTTGCATAAAAATGAACTCCCACTTCCGAGCAAATGCTCTCTGCAGCCTGGCCAGGCTCTCCTGAAAAACATACCACAGGTGAAGACATTCTGGTGCTCATCTTTACTACTCATTTCTCATTTATCTACTGTATAAATTTATCAAGAAAGAAATTATAGAATTTCTAAAGTAGTGTGCACTCTGGTTCTGAATGATAAAAGTCATGCTCACTCAATGTCGCTCATCTTCATATTAATAGTCAGAGTAAACAGGGAAACCTATTACAAATACTAATCTTATGAATAATTGACTTTAGAGACCACAAGTAAACATCTAAAATACTAAAAATTACTTTGTATAAAACAAAGAGCTCAAGACTAATCCATTGGATTTTTCTGTGTCCGTTTTAGTGAGGAATAGGAAAGCAATACATCTCTACTAATGATTCAGTCAGTCTATCCTGTTCCTGACAAGAATGTAAACCCCCAGCATCTCACTACCGTTTCTAGTCAGTGCTTCAAAGTCATTTGTAAATCACAACACAGCAATTGTCTGAAAAAATGACATCAGATTAATTTTATCTGTCTTGCAAAAACTATTTACTCAAAGTAAATGCTCTTTATTTCTCTAAGTTTGAATGTCTTCACTATATATAGGACACATCTAATGTTTTTACACTTAAGTCAAGTTTAGCAAGACATGCTTCTCCCTTCCCCTGTGAGTTTGCATCTAGAAGTTCACGATCCCCAATGTGAACGATGAGACAAAGCAAGCAAGTCAGGGATTTGAGCCATTATGATGCCTGATCCTAGAAATCTGGTCCTTAAAATCCAGGGGTGTAAAGTCAACAGAATCTCCAGAAATGACCATAGGCCTTATTCCTGTTCATTTTATGACTTTCTTTGCCAGAAAGTCCTTAGTACTTACAGCTTCATAGTCTGCCAATTCTAGCCTTGCCTTGTTTTGCATTGTTCTCTTGCAGAGGTAAACCGCTGAAAGGAAAAAAAAAAAATCAGTCATTTCTTGCCTGCTTATTAACTGGAGGCACTCACTAAAAATAAAAATACAGCATTATAAATCAAAACATCTCGGTCTTTGTCACTTTTTTTCCAGTCATAATTTTCTATCTTTATATTTTTTGACAAATATAAATAATTGGTAACATTTTTACTGAAATTCAAACATAGTGGTATTATAAGAAAATAGATACATTTAGAAAGTTGGTAACTGTTTCTTTATTTTTATTAAATCAGGGGGAAAATAAAGCCTTTTAAATAACACATCAAATGAACTTAAACATCTAGATATACAAGTAACACCATTGGGTTAAAAGGAATTGCATGAAGAGCGAATCACTGGCACGTTCAATTATATCCATATTCTTCTGTCAACTGAAAGACTCTCTTAACCTAAACTGAAGGCTTCTTGGCATCTCCTTTGCTACATTTCACCATCATCAATTATTTTGCCACTGGGAGAGAGGAAACTGTAATATCTTCCCTAACTACAATATGACTACCTTTTAATACCATTTTTCTGAGGACTCAGTATCCTTGCTGCCAGCGAAAGCTCCCTTGGGCAGTAGATTTATCGGATGGGTGCCAGAGGGAGAGAAAAGGGCTAGAGCAGCACTGCCATTGAAAAATCACATTTCTTTAGTTATCTCAGGATTATTAGCAACTCTTAGGATAATATCAAGACATTCAGAGCCCTCCAGTATCGTCCTGATTTCCAGGACACTTTTTGTTATTTTTCCGTAATATATGATATTTGAGTCTCACGAAATTCAAGATAAACTATATATTTCAGATGCTGAATGAATCTGCTGGATGAGGACTGTCAAATATTACTTTTTGTAAGGTCAGTTCTGGGGGTGTCCTTATAATCCCACCACCATTGCACTAAGCCATGCCACCCTCAGTTTCTGATCATCAAGTCCAGCTGATATCACTAAGGAATTATCTTACACAGAAGATCTGAGATCTCTGTAAACACTGATGCTGTGCATTCAATTTCCGTCCTCTAAAGTTCCCTTTATGAAGGCCAAGGCCGAGGAGAAAGCCAAGCGTGGACGACATTAAGAACCCAGGAGACGATCTGAGAACACATCTTTCTACATTCTATCATGGGAATTTTATTATTCCATCAATATTAGTAATTTTTAAAATTGCTAATTCTCAAAATTGGTCAAATAAAATACATATTGTCACGAAACTCTCTTTTTAATTGTTTCAAGTTTATTGTGTGAGCGAATCCTTCCCCAGCCCCTGAATAAAAACTCAAGCAGCATCCACAGTCTTGCTTGTCACTCAGGTAATTCAAAGAGACCCAACTTATGGAATGTCCATCCCAAGGAATAGTCAAAAATTCAAGCCTGGTTTAAAGTCTTAATGTCTTCCCCTTTCCCCCAGCTTCTGTGGGTGAGGGAAGCATGACTGTCTTCTTTGTGCACCTTGCTGTTCTGTGTCCCCAGCAAGTATTGCTGACCAACGCTTCTAACCTTCTGAGGTTGGAGTATACGGAGGAAGGAGAGGATAGGGGGTGCTGCCATTCTTGCTTGACTGATACGTGTGGTGAGCTAGTGTTGCCATTCTCTGGTCGTGGCAGAGTTTAAAGCTGATTATGTTTCCCATGTCACTTTGTGTGATGCTTTGGAGGAACCCTACCCCACCATTGCTGGGAAATCTCCCACCTACAGGGCCCTTGTAGGGGCTGACTATACCTCTGGCCTCTCTGCAGTGTGTTTGCCTGTCCAGGCTGTTCCCTAGGACTGGACTCTCTATCACATATGGCTTAAATTACACACAAGGGAAACACTCATGCACTCTTTGCCCTGAAAGAAGACCACGGAACATAGCCACTTCCCTTTAATTTCTCCACCCATAACTAGATAGCCTGTCTCTTGCCCCTTGTCATTCCAAGGCCTGGAGTTCATGATCCATTGTGTCCCCAGGAGTAGGTGACTCCTGTCAAGCACTCTCAGAAAGCCCTTGAAATCTTTGTCCCGGGGCTTGAGATGAGGGGCATCTCCACTCATTCTTCCCACTGGGGCTGATGGGGGCAATGACTCCTGACATCCTAACAGCCACAAAATCAGTCTTCAAGCCAACATCTTACCCTTTAATGCCCTCAGTGGGAGCTGACAGCAGCTAGTGTGACAATTTGTACGTCCGTCTAGAATAGCACTTTCACATCTGGTCTTGATCCACTTAACACTTTGGCTGGATTTCCATTCTAACATCCTGTTACAAAAATCACTTTGCACTCATCAGAAGAGCAGATATGTTAACAGGGCAAGTAAAAATGATGCATATGGATTGTTTTACTTCAAAGTTGAAATAGTTTAATTTTTAAAATCCTTATCCCTCATTGTAAAACTTAGAAAAGTTAAGACGATGCAGAAAAAAAATAAATATTAAAGAAAAAATCATTCTAATCTCACTTCCTTCATTATTTGGCACATTATATGGTTTTTCCCTTCTATACACATCTACAAACATACACATGAATATCTGTATTTATATCAAAACTTTATCTGCATATATTTATTTAAACAACATATGCTATCTTATGAGCTTTATCCTTTAATGTTATATTTGGCTAACTTCATATCAGTAAGTGTGATTCTGTAACATCCTGAAAAATCATTTCATGATAATCCATTTATTATTTATTTAAATGAGTCCTTATTGTTGGACACTTAGATTATATCCTTCATCTTGCAATTATTTACTAGTACTTCTGCAAACATGTACGTATGGCTGTATGTTTAGTTTTCAGATGTCTGATAATTTTCCTAGAGTGTCATTGCTGAATGAGGGGGTGTGCACCTTTCAAGTCCTCTGATCTGTGTAACCAAACTCCATAGAGTTTAAGCATGAGTGTGTCTTGCTTACACTCTGGAGAGTCCATTTTCAGCAAAGCAATCAGAGTTAGTCTGTTAAGACTTAAATCAGATTTCATTGTATTCAAACTTCCCATTTTTCAACTACTTCCTATCTCACCTCACTTCCCGTAAAGGCCAAAGTCCTTCTGTGCCCATTTCATTATCCTCCGACCTTGCTTCCAAACTACTCTCAAACGGTGGCCGCGTCCCCTTCAGAACCATGGTCTCAGCGACACCTCCCTCCCCACCCCCACCCCCCACAGCCCCTTTCCCATTGTCCTCTACACAACCTTCTATCTCCTAACATACAACTTCTGCATCCATTTATGTAGATAGCTTATTAGCTTATCTTCGCCCCCTGCCACCTCATGGGAATGCCATCTCCATGAGGCCAGAGATTTTTGCTTGTTTTGTTTGCCCATGTGTTCCCTTGCCTGGAACACACTTGGACACAGAAGACGCTCAGGATATATTTGTTGAGTAAAAACATCACTAAATTTTCCTGATGATTTGAGAGTTTTTCTTCTGCGAATTAGGAATGCATGACTGCTAATTTTTCTCTTGGGGGATCTGGCTTTTTCTTATTAGACTTAAAGCCCATTTATACATTAGAGATAGAGACTAATATCAGATATATATATATATGCAGGAAATATATTTTCCCATATTTTTGAGGAGAAGTTTAATAAATGATATGGACAACATTGAGTATACTTCAGCAAACACTGATTTAGTTTTAAATTATATGTTATTTAAATTATACTTTTATATATACATACAGCATTCATAGTACATTTTCTGCAACCTGCTTTTTTTACTCACCATGACATTACTGAGATCCACCCAGGCACTTTTCTATAGCTTGTTTCTCCTCACTGTGCTAGTCTATCCTAGGAATGCAGCACACATTATTTAAGCTATACACCTATTATTAAATACTTAGATTGTTTTCCTTTTCTCTTTTTTTTTTCTTCTCGGTTTTATTGAGACATAACTGACATGCAGCACCGTATACATTTAAAGTGCACAGTGTAATGAAGTGACTTATGTAATTGTGAAATGATCACCACATTAAGTTCAGTTAATATCCATCATTTCATCTCGATCCAAAAAAAAAGGGGGTTTTTTCCCCGTTGTCATGAGAACTTTTAGGATCTACTCTCTCAGCAACTTTCAAATGTACCCCACAGCAGTGTTTGCTATAGTCTTCATGGTGCACGACATTCCCAGAACTTTTTTGTCTTATAAATGGTGTTTTGTACCTTTTGACCCCATTCTTCCAATTCCCCTACCTCCCACCCTTTGTCTCTGATCTTTTTCTTTTTTCCTATGAGTTTGTGTGTGTGTGTGTGTGTGTGTGTGTTTAACATTCCATATATAAGTGAGATAATGCTTTCATATTTTGGAGCTGCTACAAATAGTGATTCCATATAGGCTTTGATTAACCTATATTCTTGGAATTGGTAGCAGGACTTTGTGGGACAGGCACAGTGTGAATTTTGTAAGACCTGCCAAACTTCTACCCATTATACTCTCCCAGCAATATACCAATATCCTCACCTTCGTGCCAGACTTGATTTTTTGCCAATCTGGCTTGAGAGTGGAACAATTTCATTATGTTTATCTGTTTTCTTATATTTCCAGTATTTTCACATGATAGGTTTTAATGAAAAAAGATGTGTATGAATTGCCCCCTTCACAAATTTGGCTCTGTTTAACACTTTGTACTGTGGGCTCTTTTTATTTGATCTATATTGCAAGCCCTGGTTTCATTTTCTACTTGTATTTGCCTGGTATATCTTTGCTTTAACAACCTTCTTTAACTGAAAGAGTCAGCATGTTTTACTTATCTTCCCTGCACACAGGTATTACTGGATTTTATTTATGACCTCACCTAAAGATACCTTCTATTTCAAAAGATGAACTTACATTAATTCTTATAAGTTATGTTTGTTCTTCCTTTTCTTACATCTCCATCTCTCTCTCTCTGTAATTGTGATTTCTTTGTTTCCTACCTTTTGTTACATGGGATGAGTTTTCTTTAATTCCTCTTCTAATAATTTAGAAGTGATAAAACTTACCATTCCATTAGTGGCCATTCTTATG